ATTAAGGCATTTCGGAACTGGGATTTTAAAAAGCAATGCCTGAAATAGTTTCGGATTCGGCAAATGCCTAAATATTTTGGATTCGACTAACAACCTTGGTCCATATATATCTGGAATATGATTTCCAAGTATTTCCACATAAAAATTTACATACATCATTTGACTAAAGCAAAGAAGATTCATTTTTCCGTTTACACAAAATCCACCTCATGCTAAAATTTTGATTCCATCTTTTGGCATGTGATGAACTGGTTTCACACCTTTATGCCAACATCCCAAACAGTTGAAAGGCTGTATTGTATTCATTGGTAATTAACGTCTGTGGCAACATTCAAGTGTTTCCTTGCCCATTCAATTCTTTCTCCCTGTGGACTGTTGTTAGCATAGGGTAACTTGTGGATGGCTTTTTTTATAACCATAGTTTTCTGATAGTTTGTCCAATCAAATGTACAGCATCTGCAGTAATTTTTTTTTGTCAACCATTACCACCTTTGTGCAAAATATTGCCATTTTTCAATGTTAAAATAGATGGTAGAAAGGGAATCTTTGTCAAAATGTGAAGTTCTCACACCCTGGTTCCAGAAATGTAATAGAGTCTGACGTTGTCTTCCTTGGTCAGATGTGAATGTTTTGAAATCAATAAACAAAACAAAGATTTGTGTTTTTTTTGAAAGTTACACAACGCAAGTTGGGAATTTAAACCAGGGCTGTTGCGTAAAGGACCTCAGATTATTATAATTGAAAGTGCACCATATGCAGACGATTTCCAGGTAGGTCTGACCTTTATCCTGTGTTCAGAGGGATACAGCTTTAGCCTGGCGAGGGATAAATATAAATGCATGGATATATATCTGATCACCTGGTGCATAGAGCTTGAGTGAATTATCCGACCGATATCCAAAGATCGATAAGATTGATAAGGGGGGATATCCCTCTTACATGTTTTCCCAGGCTGAGGCTCTATCCCTACAAATTGAGGGGTAAAGGTGTAACCTTTCAGAAATTGTCCGCATGGGCTGTGAAAGCAACAATAGACTTTTGGTGGTGTGGCTATTTCAGGTATAGCAGAAAATTTTTATTACAAGTCATATCCAAATCAGGCAAAGCATTTTATGTCATATGAAATTATGGGTAAAGGGTTAAATTGTAATTGATATAGAAAGTTTTGTACTTTTTTCCATTAAGTAAATTTTCTAAGATACGACGGATTTACTAAGAATTACATCAACAAATATATTAATATGATTTTCTTGGTTCTTTAAGATAAAAACATATTGGATAATTTTTTCAATGTTACATATGAAGATGCATGTCTTATTATTACACTAGGGATGTTGATCGATTTTTTCTGCAATTCTATTAATTTTTTTATAAAATTCATATATGTATTTTGCGTGGAATCCACAGCTCCTCAAGTGTAAACTATTTATTTTAATATAAGAAAAGAGAAAATTTTTACATTTTTGAAAAAACCAAGTTCCCCATGTGACTTTATATATGTCGATCGCCCAGTTTTTATTATATATAGTGAGTTTCTATTATTTATTGGCACTTGGTTATACAAAAATTTTGTTTTTTGAATCCAAGATGACGCGATGACGCGGATTCAAGATGACAACAACATATACGGCATGTATGGCTTGGCTCTGAAAACTAACCAGAGATACTATTTTTTATTTATATTGTCTTATTAACAAGGAAAAAAAACTTTGGGCAAGCAGGTTAATTCTACGACTTCCTTAGCTGACAGAAGGAGCGGAACTTCCTGGGTAATTATCAAAATTTGGTATTTTGCTTTTTGTAATATTAATAATATTAATAATATTAAATATACAATCACATGTCAAGGCAGCACAACTGGCTCACGACTCGATAGGCAACATTTGATTATAAACATCCTTGATTCATTACAGTCATTCTCACATTCCTTGTGTAAATAAGGCTAATCTGACTTGCGATGTCCGACGATTGATATGATGCAATGGATTTCAGGGGGTTATCGCTATGCTCTGTGATTTAGCAAGATTGCATATCTAGAAGGTACACTGTGCAGATCCAACCCTTCCCCAACAAGTTGCAACTCTGGAGGTTGTAGGCATTTGGATTGAAGGGTAAGTTATAATGTTGGGGAATTTTGCAATTCAGAGTGGGTTGGAGAAGCTTTTGTATGTCTTTGAAGAAAGCCTACTGACGTGTCACCGGACTTTATTCTGGTATGCTACCTTATCATTGTAAGGGGTATGTGCACGTTCGTGATAGGATACTTTATTTAAATCTGACACCTATGATCATCATCAGATTTATTATTCGTAAGATATTATATAATTGAGACAAGGAA